TTTACGAAGGCATGTGTCACGCCCGCCTTCCGTAGTGTGTCCAGAAACACGGATGCAGTGGTGATCATCGGCCACAGTTTACCTTGTAAAATGCACTATGCGTTTTGGTGGTCGCAGAGCAAGAGAGCTGGACGCGTCAGATCCCCGCTATATCAGCACTGGGTGAACATTCGCAGCCGACACTCTATTTCCGGGGGAAAGTGCAATCATTTGATATTCGCAGAGCCGCTGGACCGTACTAAATACACAGCAGAAGCAAGGACCGATAAGCCCGAGGCCATGCGTTACACGGCATCGATCTCTCGGAGACACCGTCTTTCAGACATTGACTGTAACAGCGAAGCTCTCGATAAACAGATCCGCTGAACCGACGAAGGGCTCGGTGCCAGTCTGAATGGCCTGCAGATACTTCACGGTAAAGAATTTTAGCCAATGCTCTCTACTGAACAATGTAAAGAAACACTAACCTGAGTCGAGGCTACGCCCTGGTTTTCAATGAGATATTCTATTACGAAGTCGATTTTAGCCGATGAGAATTCTCGGTGGGGATATGAACGTACGGAAGAACTCGTTGAGGTCCGCGCTGAAGTTCCTCACTTCGCCAGAGGAGATAACAAAGGAGAAGACCTGCCAGTTCGCATTGGGGCCATTCCAGAGGTTCCAAGTGTGCCCAGCAATGTTCAAGCCACTATCAATCTGATGGCCAACGGGTTGGATGCTTACTCCAATGGTGAGCCAAGAACAGTAGTACACACGTCTACAACTTACCCTCCGAGGCCGGAAAGCCATATCATGCTGTCGAGCCCAGTCAGCCGGGGTGGACTGGAGGGACAGAGACACGACGCTTACATCTCATAGGAAGACGCAGACGTAGCGGCGGTACCGGACTGGGCCACACCAAACCAGATGTCGTAGGAGACGTCGGCACGGATGCCCTCGGACTCGGTGACATAGGTCCAGTTCCATGCAGTCGGTGCGGACGTGATGCTTCCGAGCTACTCATTCGCAGATATACTTAGAACATATAGAGCAATTCATCTGTGGAAAAGTCATACCTGCATGCCCTTTGCAGTGTTGTGCAGTACGTTCGCGTCTATGAATAACAGTGTCACAAACTGTTATCAGCTGATCGTCTTGGAGAACGTACAGCTCTTCACGTTGTTATTGTTATTCGCCCACGTCCAGTTCGTCTGCCAAGTGATGGCATTACCATCGGTGCTCATCAATGTCGAGTTTTGGGAGCCAACGCCAGCGGCTACAGCCAGGATACGTTAGCATGGGAACTGGAAGTGAAGCCTCGCGGCTTACATTCGCCCCAAAGATTCTGACAAAGTGTGTACGCTCCTGCAGGCATACAGTCATACTGCCCAGATATAGTCTGCGCCGACACGAGGGTCAGAACGCTAGCAAAAACTACAACAAGGAGGTTCTTGAACATATTGGATCGTGAGCGGTAGCTACGGTTACCGGCGTACAGCACCAGCAGCTGGCCCAATGCTCTTATATGTGTTCGTTGGCCACCGGGTTAGGAAGAAAAGCAGCTTCAATCTCGGATACGGACGGCGAAATTTAGATCATACGTGACATTAAAGGCTGGTGTTGGAGCTTCCCGTCGGATGGAGGACGACTCGACATCAGGCCTTCGCCGGTCTATTAGTGCGTGACGTTGAGTTAACAGCCCAACCAAGGAATATCTCTGCGCTCAAGAATGCAGGGAGGCCTGCATGTTGATCCACGAATCGCCTCGTAATCCGACGTTGGCCCGAAAGAATGGCCTAACGTAACGGATTGGTGATATGCGATCGTCGTATACTGACAGTGAAAGTTCCGCGTCTTTGCACAGATGATCCGTCCTGCGCAATAGAGGTGCTGACAGAGGTGTTGAATAAAGTCGTTTTGGCACGGCTACCGCTTCTGCAAGAGCAAAATCTACTCTCAAGAATCGGATTCGGTGGGTGCGATGTTGAGCATTGGGTATCAATAAATCTAGACAGAGATGAGTCTACATGAACACGCCCAACGCGACGAGACTCACTAGGGTGCACGCACTTGGAAAGTCCCCTGACTTCGCAAACATGAAGTCACAACACCTCAGTCTCCTACACAATACTAATGTTGGAGATGAACCTGTTAACGAGCGGCACCAAAGGCATGCCTGGGACGTTCTTCGGACGCAAGAGGCCTTATTCCTAATACACATTGCTCTAAGGTCCGAGGCGATGGGGCACAGCGTGTCATTTCATGTTGGGAACGAGAAGATGGTGGTCTCGGACAAGGTGGTCTCGGCTGTTGCCGAGGGGCACAAGCATCCGTCCTCGGAATGCAATCTCTCTCCTGCACTTCCAGCACGATCCT